ACTTTTTGATGCTTTTTATAATTGTTATTAGTAGTTTTTAGATAGTCATTTTACGACAATTCTCTTTCGTACACAAGAAGAATGTACATAGGGTATATATTTTAATATTCATATTCTTGAATCTGTAAATAATCTTTTTTTTTTGAATCTATGAATAAAGTTTTTATTATTATTATTATTACTATTATTATTATTATTATTATTATTATTATCATTATTATTATCATTATTATTATTATTATTATTATTATTATTATTATTATTACTTTTAACGCGAAGAACTGAAATCGGGCGATAATTGTTTGGGTCGTTCTTATCTCCAGATTTGTAAATTGGAGTTACCTTGAGTTCGCACTTTTCCATTCAGATGGTATCATACCATCTGAAATTGATGAATTTATGAGATGGGCATTGGGTCTAGATAGCCCATTTGCTGCATCCTTTAATAACCGAGCAGGAATTCCATCGAGCCAAAGCTCTCAATGTTTATCGCCGCTGTTTGTGATTTATTTCTGAGAAAACAAAACGCATTTCGAGGCTTCTCAGACAATAATGAAAGAAATATACGGTATAAATTAATTAAGACTAATTCAATCTGAGTTTTTAAACTTAAAATCTCACTATTCAACATTAGTTATTACAATATTCTGCATCGTTTGCTTTGAGGCAGTCGCAGGCACTCTTGGACTGGATGATGTTTCAAACAATTATCGATTAAAATGTGCGAACGTCTCGGAAATAAGACTTCCATTTAATTGCAACCTCTTAGAATAACTTTAGTGAAATTCGCATATCCCTGCGGCCGACGCCCTAAAATGCACTCTCTGTCCATTTTTCTCTCTGAGTCGAAAATTATGGCTCTGTTTGGGCACAATCCAGATTATTATGACGCGGATAGCTGTTAGTAGTAACCATTGCTCGTTTGTATTATACAAATTTTGGCTCATACCGACAAAAACCACTAATTATGCTTATTCGAAGCTTCCTTTTTTGTTTTTCGTCTGAAGAGCGTACAGATTTTTAGGGACGTCGAGGTACACAGTAAGTTGAATTGAACGACGGCTTATTACTGAGCTTCTTAGTTCTTCTAGGTTCCAAGATTTTCTAAGATGAAGTTGAGCTTACAAAGTGGTTGTTTTTATACTAAATTTAAGTTAAGTGGTTTCTAAGAAAGGTCAATAGTATTCTTATAATATGTACAAAATAGGTGTTAGGAGGTGGTACAACTGATAGAACAAAAAATACCGAAATTTAGTTGAATTCAGTTGCTTGTGGAAAAAATTTAAATATCTCTATAGCCAAATTCCTATACGAGAAGGTTAAACGATGGTTAATAAAAGAGACCAGATTTTTCTAAGATTCTGTCGAAACAAATTCTAGTTTGAAATTAGGAATTAAAATAAGTGAAACTTAGCTGAAAAAAGCCTAACTAAGAACAAAGAACTAAAAAGGTGTAGATCAGGAAATCTGATTATGATTCAAGTTCTAGCTGGAAGCGAAAGTGAGAACCAACTTCAGGTTTAAATAGACGCACTTCGTTTACAGAAATTGCTTATTATCCCATTCCACAGCTGAATACATCTACTAAGGAAAGTAATTATTTCTATCTATCGTACTTGTTTCTATGTTTCTTAAATAAGCTTAAAGAGGTGTTTCTTATATGTAACCTCAGTTAAACATTTAATTGCGAAAGACTGAAACGACACTTGTGATGTTTCCTACATTAAACCGAGCGTATACAACTTCTATTTTTTGATTGATCCCCACACCAAAGAGGTCGGTGCAAAAATCTTTCTGACTTAACTGACCAGTAAAGGTTTGCTAGAAGAATCTAAAGTGTATCCAGCTGTTCTGACAGCTTGTAATCACCAACCTGTGTTCCTAAACGAAAGATATTTGAGATATAGTGGAACTTTTTTATCACTGGAACATCGTATACCACCATCTGGGTTTGAATCGAGCTTTGCCGCTTGGTTTCCGGTAGGATTCACCAGTGTGAATAAGAAAGACCCAGTGTCACCAATGAAAGTTTGAGAAGAAGCTTAAAATGGATAGATAAATAAACAATAAATAAGTAAATAAATAAATAAATAAATAAATAAATAATGGGACTTTTGTTGACAGCAACTGGCGTATTGGCAACTAAACCACGTATTCCCTAGACTATAAATAATAAATTTAATTGTAAAACTATTACTTACGTGAGGACCATGACTTTGAGGTATAGCCTCCGAATATGGAACTTCCACTTTGTGTCACTACAAGAGTGGGTCCTTTGTTATCGGAGTACCGGTGAAAGCCTGCAGCATTTTTTCCGTCTGTGGTGGCTCGGAACAGCAAGGTACAAGAAGCCCCAGGCGGCAGCCATGACATAATAGTGGAAGCTTGACTTTCTTCCTTTATTAGACTGGATAAGATGGTTAGGTTGCCTTTCAGTTGAGTGATTATCCCTTGAATTTGATAAAAGTTTGCCTCGTCAAGAAGGTCTTCCCTACGAGTTTTCTTGTCTGGGCAACGAGTCAAGTGACAAACAAATATCGCTCATTTCGATAGAAAGCTGTTTCAATACAGATCGTTAACTCGAGCAATGAAAATGCCCAACAAACGAAGAAAAAATTTACTATTCGGTGATTGAATGGACCTCGTCAATAGCGATAGCTGCAACTTGCTTTCCAAGCTTTCCTTTTGAAGTCCTTTTGTCCATTCCTTAGACAACCACGATTTGTGACTGCAGTACGCCTTTGAGTGAGTTTTTAAGGATCATACAGTTTCACAGCTTCCACTTTTAACGGCTTCATCCACATCTTCTCCCATTATTGCCGCCGCTACTCCGATTTTGTTCAAATGTTTTTACTTGGTCTTTCATGATGGCAATCAACGGAGTTACCACAACAATCGTAAATGGCATTCTATCCCACCTTCATTCCAACGCACGCTTTATTCGAGGAAAAAGCTGGAAAATAAGTCTTTTTCCAAAGCCAGTTGGTGAAATTGCGAAGATATCTATCCTGCCGACTACGAGTTTTAAACAGTTCCTTTGCTCTTCGCGTTTGGAAAGTCACTCAGCGCTGTGTTTGTTTCGAGTTCGAATTCTGGACGGAACGTAGAGTCTGTCGTCACCGCCATATCGCATTTTTCGCTGTGATCGAAGACGCTCCACTGTTGACAAAAACTGTCAAAATCAACCGATCAGAGGGTATACCAGGATCTGGTATACCGGAACGCGCTTTTGTTAAAAAGTCTTTCAAGCGTTTCCGCACCTCTCTCCCCAGTCCCCCTCTACTTTTCATCGCTTTCTTTACTTCGCACCGCTCTCCACTATCTGAACGCTTGGAACAGGCTAAGACATGACAGTCAGTTGGTAAGGCCCGATTATGCATGACGCATATTTTTACTGACTTCTAGTAATCATAGACTGGTGAGTACGTTCGAGTCTCCTTCGTTTTACCGTCAAGCATTTAATATTTCAAAATGGGGTAAATATCATGAAATATATGTTTTTATTTATGATTCTTTCTATGCTCTCATTCTATTTTAATCACCCTATAAAAGATTCCCCAGATAAGGACTTGCGTTAGGCCAAAATATTATAATTATGAAAGTATTTAAGGCTAAGCAGTTAACTATCTAAAATAGCCCTCACTGATATTCTGTTCTGACCATGATGAATGCATATTTATTTATCATTTCCCTTGTAAGCCTGAGCGAGAGTGAAGATTCCACTGCATGCATCATTATGGCTTGTATCACACTTACCGGAAGAGTTTACCATCGCGGTCAATAAAATACGCCCCATCGTCGCCGTCTGGTTTTAGCTCATGCCTTCCGGAAAACATCGCACACAGCATAGAATCTGGATCTTTTCTCAGGGTGTCCAGTGTGGTTTTATATACTTTTCCACCGACGTTCAACTTAACCGCGCTTCCAAAGTAGACTTTATCTAGGGTTTTGGACAACTTTTCAAAGGCTCACTTCTCTTCTTTAAAATTGTCGAGATCTTGCTTAACCAGCTCACGCGCTTCATCCATAAGCTTGTGTGCCTCGACAACTTTTGCGCAAGCTAAGTCAAATAAGCCAAGTTCCTCTTTGGCAGCCATATTCACTCAGGACTTCCTCAAGGAAGTTAACTAAAATGGGACCACGGATTTACGTCAGGTTTTCACGATGAAGTGCTTTGTTTTTCAGTCTGATCACCAATCGTGACGCAATACAAAAGACTGGAAAAGATTCTAAACAATATCCACAATACGACACACAAGGAATAACACCAAGAAAGCCCCTCTCCCAGAGATAGTAGCAGAGTTGTTTTCTTAAAATCGTCGAGGTCGAAGAACCATCATATATATTTTTATGAAGGCCCGTTCTGCTCAAAATCATGACAATAAAATTGCACCGAAAGTCAGTTTTAATCCAACTGCAGCAAATATTATGGACATGTTTTGTATTTTTGTCATCACTAAACAATACTTTTTTCAGCGTGTTTGTAATTATTTTTAACAACAAGAGTCATTTTTGTTTTAATTATAGTAATACTTTTTTCATTCATGCCATGAATTATTTTTCAATGGTACTTCGAATTATTTTTCTAATGTATATCAAGAATTATTTTTTAATTGGGCCGAGAATTATTATTCGCGGTTTCGTGAATTTATTTTTTGGCCTACAATGCATTGCGGGCATTGCATTTGAAGTAAACTGGTTCGAGTTTTTTACTTCCTTGGGCGACCATTTTGAAAACTTTGCAAGTGGAGGAGTGCTTTCAAAAAGAATGTTAAGGTGAAACATTGTCAGGGAAAGAAACGAAAGAGGTTTTCGTCTTTCTTATAAAATCTGTCAGGAGCTAGTAGTCTGTGCGTTCCTGATGAGGTTTTCTGGACCGAAGATTTAATAGAGAAGACTACGAAGCGACTTCACGACTCGTACACAATTCTAACCCTTATTGAACATGACATGTCGGCCCGATTGAACTGTTCTCTACCCAATCTTGTACCTCGAGTCTTCGTCTCGTATTACACATGCTGGGTTTCGGAACGAAGACGCAGAGAATGAGAGTGTCCCCTACCCTGAAGTTCAGGAAGAAGCTCCCGATTCTAATCCAGACGGGCGAGCACTAGAAGCAGAGCCAGATGGACTCGAGGTAGAAGACCTTCGCTGAGTGCTTTGTTAGAGTAGACCTCACTAACTGGCAAATTCGATTGAATTATGTAATATTTATGTTATGGCATTATTGGCTATATATCTCAGGTATCCGACGTTGGACAGACTTGTTCATCTCCGAATATTAAAAACATAATGTTAAAAATCATGAACTACTATACTGCTATCGTAAAGGCACTCGAGCAAGTTCCCCATGTTAGTTAGTTAGTGAGGTCTACTCTGACTAGCACTCTGCGAAGATCTTCTACCTCGTATCCATTTGGCTCTTCTAGTTCTTATGCCCGCCCGTCAGGATTAGAATCGGGAGATCCTTCCTGAAGTTCAGGGTAAGGGGCACTCTCATTCACAGCATCTTCGTTCCGAAAGCCAGCATGTGTAGTACGAAGACTCGAGGTATAAGATTGGGCAGAGAACTGTTCTATTGGGCAGACATGTCATGTTCAATAAGGGTTAGAATTGTGTACGAGTCGTGAGTCGCTTCGTAGTCTCCTCTATTAAATCTTCGGTCCACAAAACCTCATCACGAGCACACAGACTACTGGCTCCTGACAGATTTTGTAAGAAAGATGAAAACCCCTTTTGTTTCTTTCCCTGACAATTTTTCGCCTTGGCATTCTCTTTGAAAGCACTCCTCCACTTCAAAGTTTTCAAAATGGTCGCCCAAGGAAGTCAAAGACTCGAACAAGTCCGCTTTAACTGCAAGGCCCGCAAAGCATTGTAGGCCCCCCAAAAAATTCGCGATACAGCGAAAAATAATTATCAGCACGATGAAAAAGTAATTCTCAATCCTTGTATTAAAAATAATTCGCAGTACCACCAAAAAATTATTTGTGGTACGCATGAAAAATTTTTTCATACAACAACATTAAAAAAGTAAACAGCCTTCATAAAAAACAATTCATGCAGCTAAAAAAAATCAGCAACACACTAAAAAAATCCGGTGTTGTGATGACAAAAAATACACAACGGGTCCATAACAAATGCTGCACGGGCCAAAAAAGTCACTTGTGATGCCATTTTATTATATTAATTTTGACCAGAATGGGCCTCCATATATTTTCCTACTGATAACAACAATCATTAAAATCATGAAACCAGATGAGAATCACAATTGCCGTACACCCTCTCACGCTGGTTTTCCTCAGTTTTCATCATGCGTTGCATAGTTCACGAAGTTGCGATGATGCAAAACGCGCCAAAAAAATATGTTGTTGGAATTGTAACATGTGACCAGATTGGTTTACTTTACACCAATTATTTTTGTTACATTTTTTTTCTCGGAAAGTCGAGTCTACAAGAACTGGCAAGCTTCGGCGATTATCCAGCAGATTTCAAACGGATACTCGAATCTGGAAACCGGGAGCCGAGACAGTCCAGAATCTGGAGTCTCTCGGATTATTACTTCAGTCTTTCAAAACGCTTATATCTCGGCTGTTTTAGAGCCGATTTATACATAAACGTTTACAGAGACATTGTGAAATGATGGAAGTTTAGGAGGGTTGCTATTAATTTGGTAGATCGAACTATACAGTGATGCCTTAAGCCACAGTTGGGCATGGACTACATGTCAGCACACCATGTAGTCGTGCTACATAAATTGATTGAGCACTGTGCATAACGTCTTGTAAGTAGCACGCTTTACTAAAAACCTTTTCTTTTCTGTACTTTGTACTCCTCGCTTGTCCTTTTCTGTCCTTATTCGTACTTTATGTCCTTACTAGCAGCACGCTGTGATTCTATTATGATATTATTCCTCTAGTAAGTGTGCCATGTATTGAGCAGATTTTCCAATTTAAAGTTTGCCAGCAAGATGTAATCGTTTAAAGGAGCAAAATCTGTCATCCCTGAAATTAGTCAGAGTGATTTTACTTGAACCGTGAAATAGAAACAGATACTGACAAATAGTGAAAAATAGCCAAAGGTAAACTACAGAGGACAATAGAATTTATAGTGCATAACAGTTCGTAGTATTCTACTCCCTATATTTCACGGTTCAAGTAAAAATCACTCAAACGCCTTATATCTTTTTCTAAAAGCGCTCTTTTAGAATTCTACTCAATATGTAACACAATACCGTCTATACCAAGTTTACCCCTCTGCAGTGCCAGCTCGTGAAGTTTTGTATCTGGGCTGAATTTTTGGACATAAAATTGTCGGAACACTTAAAATCACATGAACAGTTAAAATCATGCGCTCGTCTTTTATCCAGTTATGAACATCTCGTAAACCTGTCGAAATCAGTCGTTCTACTTCGTGCATACGCTTTAAATAAATGCATAACCTGAAATACGTGAATCGCAAGACCTCGCGAGCACTTTTAAGGATGGGAAGGGGTCTGGATTCCCGTATCCTCCCCCCTGTCCTCTCCTGAAACCAAGTTAGAAACCCCTCAGGAAACTTGTGTCGTTTGTAACGAGCCAGTTAAAAGCAAACGGAAATTGACCTTGTTTCACGGGATAAATACGGCTCTAGGCTGTAACATGACTGAATGTGACAGGAACTCTACGCGGAAGAACATCCAGTTCCAGCAACCAAGGACAGGAGTAACATTATTACCGGTGTCAGCAAAGGAAGTTAAGGAGGAAGCCAAAAAAAAGCTGCTACACAAATGAGACCAACAGTTAAAAAGAACTGTGAAAGTTATGAACCCGGATGTCAATTTATAAGCAGGTGAAGTTAAAAAGGGATCAACGGCAACTGTCAAGGTTGGAAATCGATAATTGGAAAAGCAATCAATCGACTTGATCAATAGATTGAAGTAGTTAACTGATATTGAACGTTCACTTGTGTAAAAATTCAATTAAAACAGCCGAAGATTTGCATAAAACAGATTCAAAAACTTACGTTTTTGAAACTTCAACTGATATATATATATATATATATATATATATATAGATAGATAGATAGATAGATATATGGGTCAATAAAGGATTCAAATCAACATATGTAGTCCATTCTCCTTTGTACAAACTATATATATATATTTATATGGTATTTCGGCTTTAACATTTGCGTACTCTTGGCAGGAAGAATCCTCCAAATTGCAATAGTCACCGAACCATTTCTGTAGAAGTTGAAACTTTACTTATGGCCACCGAAAAAGGAACAAGGAAGAAGCCAGCACGTACAGACAAGAAGTCGCTATAAGAGATATTAGCGACTTTAAGATCCGACGACGCGGACGGCGACGAGAACATCAAAAAAACAATAGGTTTATAATTTACAAAAAACAACAACAACAACTTTGCACGTGCATCACACTTTTTTGTACGTTTCTTTGCCCGTTTTTGCCCGACTACGGCATAAGAATTTTCATGGAGTACGTAAACAAGCAACGACGAAATTTTATTTCTCTCTCTGAACTTGGATATGGTCCGTCGGAATTCAACTCCAGGAGGGTTCGCCTACCGTTGACAAAATAAGTGGATATGAATAATTGCGATAAAGACTGAAACAACGCAAAATTCGCTTTTTAAGCGACGTTCTCGCTGCCGCCGCGTCTTTGGATCTTAAAGTCCCTAATGTAATCAAGTGACGGACGTTCGCTACGCTGTGCTGTCGCACGTTGGCCTTCGTGTATACGATAACGTCCCCTCATATCCAATTATTAAAAAAAAAACATGGAGCCCCTCATAACCAATTATTTAAAAAAAAAAACTGGGAGCTTTCCTTCTTTCTCCTCGTAAACGGCGTTTTTTTTTTGAAGACGCTTCCTGGAGTGGAGTTTTTGTAAACGCTGGACGGAAACAAGCGGTTTCTAATACGACGATCTCACACATTAACTCCACTTTTTATTGCGTGTTTGTGTGTGTGTGTTTTTTATATGGTTTCTACCCATATCTTCTATCCATCCTTTTAATACTAGTTTTTCAAGGCCATAAGCGCACGGCACACGTACAAACACGTTTTTACCACATGTCCTCACTCAAGGGATATTATTTGAAATGTCATAATGAATAGAACCTAGTAACAGCAAGGTAATACTCCGCAGTTCTGCTCACGGAGAAAGTGTATCGTTTCTTTTACTTCTTATTGAGGGTTTATTTCGTTTTAACTTCACGTTTTATGGCACATACAAACTTACCCGAAAAGTTTACCATCGCGGTCATTAAAATATGCCCCATCTTCGGCGTCTGGTTTCACGTCATGCCTTCCGCAATACTTCGCACACAGCATGGAATTCGGATCTTTTCTCAAGGTCCCCAGCGTAGTTTTATATATCTTTCCACCGACGTTCAACTTAATCGTTCTGCCAACGTGGACATCCGAGTCAAGGGTTTTCGACAACTTTTCAGCGGCTGATGACTTTTCTGGTTTAAGATTATCAAGACCCTGGTTAACATGAGCTCACAAGCTTCGTCCATATGCTTATGTGCTGCAACTAACTTAGCGCGAGCCAAGTCAAATACGCCCACTCGTCGTTCCTCTTGAGCAGACATACTCACTCAAAAGTCCCGCTATCAAAGTGAGAAAATGAGACCAAGTTTCACTTCGTAAGCAGCCAATCTCCCCTTCATGTAACTTTAGTCTGGTTTCTACGTAATGATAGTCTTAAAGCTTGTCTCATCTCATCTCTATCTTGGTGATCGCTGCAATCGTCATGGTGTTCAAAAGCGGTTCCTAAAGAATTCCTGCGATGCTCAACCTTCGTTTTTCAGCATCTCGCATCAAACGTCCTTTCCTTCAAATGTCTACCACGCAAGGTAAATCAACGGCCAAATATGCATATGGCATCATGTCCAGGATTCGAACCCAAGCCATATCACTTAGGAGGCTAGAACCACTGCACGCGTCACACTTGCTGGATTGTGAATAGTAGTTGAATTGAAAATAAGCAATTTCCGTAATCTGGGTACCCCCTGGAAAGAATATTTTCTTCGAAAATGCCGTTGCACAATACTTTAGGCGAAAGATAATTGTTTCTGCAATAAATGGAGGAAAAATTCTTTTCATTTATGTTAATAGAGTGTCAAATAATCTCAATTTTGCCTTGAAGAGGCATTTTTTATTTAATTATTAACGGTAAGTAACTGAGAATCATGGTACCAGTTAAAAACCCATGATGGATACCAAAACACAGATGGATAACATAGTTAATTAATGAGCCGACGACAGTGCAAGCCGTGAAAAAAGCACTCAGCCTACCGCATATAAAAGATCATCAATGGAAAGAATAATTTTTCTTTTGAAACACCGATTAACAGTAAAATAACTGATAGCTTGCTCATCAATCTATCTCGGAGTCCCCCGGAAAAAATACTCGAGAGGCCACCCACCACTCCCTCTGAAATTGCCTCCTTTTGGACCTCCCTCCCCTCTGAATTTTCGTTGCCTTCAGTTGGTGGGCGGGGTATGGACATTTTCTGGAACTACACAATTGTATTCTTCAATTTGACTTCTCTTTTTACTCCCGCTATGCAGAATTCAGAGTTTTATGGTCCGACCGCCAATTTTATTGTTTTACCTCTAACGGACGGACCCTCAGTGAAATTATTCAACGTTCAGGCCCAAATACAATTATAGATCTATTTGTCTTATTCATAGTGGAGCTCCCGTGCGCGAAGCGAGCGCGGCGGAGCCCCATTGCTAAGATACACTGGCAACCAAGAAAAGCAAGAAAATTTGATTATGACGTAGCGTATGCCCGAACGACCGTCCGTACACCCATTACATGTAAGCCGATACCAAATGTCAGGTTATTTGGGCGGGAAAGCGTATGACCAGCCAAGTCCTGTTAAGATGAGACAACTAAAGAGTCAATAAAGGCGAAAACGGTAAGCGGAAAATGTTTCTGTATCCGTGTTGTCTAAAATATTAAGTTTAAATTAATTTTCATGTCACAAATTTGGAATACAGAGAAAGAGAAAGACAAAGAAAAAGAGAAAGAAGGACGACAGATCAGCGAAGCTCAACGAGAAAGGGAGCTAGAGCGAGAGAGAAAAAAAAAAACAAAAGGAGACATTTATTGTCGGAGGAACAACTTGAAATTTTGTAGAGGCGGGATGATAGCGGCCGCATGGGTGAAAATGAGCTACAGTGAGAAAAAGAGTGAACAAGCACTCGTCCGACATTTCCTCCATAAAACGTGTAACTAGGAAGTTTATGGAAGTTTCACGCGGCGGTCGGGCAAAACAACGGCAAAGAAATATACAAAAAAGTGTGCTGCACGTGCAAATTTGATTTTTTTGGTCATTAGACCTGTTTTTTTCACCGTTCTCGTTACCTTCGCCGCTTAGCATTACACGATTTTATATTTTGTTTGGGCAAACTATAAAAATTATCGAGAGCTCCGCTTTAGCTGTGGCTAAATCTATATACTATCATTGTTGTTACTACCGCAGCGCACGTATTCCGTAGCTACCATGAAACCACGTGCTTTGAAATCTGATGCTTTGTGAGCTTTGTCATTTTAAAGCTTTGCGTATGGAACTCAAAACAGTCGGTAAGTTTTCCTCTTGTATTTCGGACGTTCACTTCGAACTTTCGAACACTGAATTCATAGTGGATTTATGTTTTGGTTTTAGAAATCCTAACTCGTGCGTAGGATTTATTGGATTTGTAATTCGTTTGGAACTACTCTGACTTCATTGTAAATTGTATTTGACACAGCAGTTCAGGCTGTTGATTTATTTGGATCTGGATCTATTCCGAACGTGGAATCCTTTTTGGAATAAAAAGATAAGGTTTACATACGGAGTTCGAGTGTTCGACTTATTTTCGTAACAGTTTTCGACTGTTTACGAGTTTTTAATGGATGAAGACATGTGAAAGCAGTGGAAACGTTTTCGAAGATGGCGCAGCGTGAAAATTCGTTTCGCTACGCGAACCGAACGGCCTTTGATAAAACAATTGTTTACTACTAGATATGAGGATTTGGACACTAGATTCGATGAAAGGGACTAGGCAACAGCATCTAAAGAAGGAGAGAGCATGGAAAATCTGCAGTTAAGCGAAACGCGTGCTTGCGAGATCGATTTGGAGAGGAAAAGGGCAGCTTTGTTCAATTCCCGCGCTAGCATGGACACATGGGAAATTTGACAAAGGTACCTAACATGCAGGCTTATGCATTTTATAAAAGAAGATGGAGCTCGGAAAGATGTTTTGAACGGATGTTGTCAGTTTGATGAAGCTTGGCCTAAGTTTGTGAATGTTCATGAAAATTATTTACAGTTGTTGAGAGTATATTATGGTGGGGACGCTTGTCTGTTAGATAAGGCTGTAAAAAGTTATGATGAACAAATGGAGCGAAAACTTAATCTTGATCTTTCTGTGAATTTATGGCTGGAAAGAGTGAATCAGGGCGAGTAGCAATTGACGGCAATCGGGGTGTAGTTTCAGAGAAAGCAAGCAAAGATGGGCATAGTTTGCTTTCTTAATCAAGTTCGAGATTATCCTCAGTGTCTCAAAAGAGAGAGAAACTAGCTTTAGCTCAGCTAAACCTTCATAGACTTAAACTTAAGCAATTATTGGATGAAGAAGAACGAGCTATTAGAGCAAAAAAGGAATTATTAGAGGCCGAAATGGAGGCAGAAAAGGCCGCTGTATCACTTAAAATTTATGAGGATGACTTGAATGAAAGGAAACAGACATCGATGAATATCTTTTGCCCTATTTGTGCCCCACTTCACTACAAGATCCTGGACAGAAAAGTGCAGCACAAACTAGTGAGACCAATTTGGAACAAACAACCCACTCAAGTTTATCTGTGACAAACCATGCAGGCAAGAGTACTAGCCACTCCTTGCCCCCTCTTCCCTCATTCACGATATAATTGTTTCCTAAATGTTCTTGGGGAAGTAATGCAGTGATTGAACAGTCAAGAGATTCGGTGAGTGCAAGTCAAACTTTTGCCATTAATGTTGCAAATGAAACTTCATGTAAGCAAACACAGACGGTGATTAGTCAGTGTGTTAAAGAATCTTGGTCTCTAAACTGGAAGAGTCCACTGGCCCATACCTTGCAAAGTGCTAAGCACCAACCGACAGAGACTCAGCAAAATGATGATAGTTTGGAATTGGTTAAAGCATTAAAACAGCTGGTGGTGATGCCCAAAGTAGAGTATCAGCACTTTGACGGTGACCCACTGAAGTATGTCACCTTTTTTCACAACTTTAAGACATAGTTAGAGAAGGATAACCCTGATGACTCCCGAAGATTACAATTTCTCATCCAGCACTGCACAGGTAAAGCAAGGGATGCGATTGAAAGCTGCTTTAACTTGCCTGCTAGTGAGGGTTACCCAGTAGGGAAGGAAACATTGCTTGAGAACTTTGGAAAGCCTCACATAATTACAGGGGTTACCGACTGGCGAAGGAAACATTGCCTGAGAACTTTGGAAAGCCTCACATAATTGCAGGGGCCCATATAAAGAAATTGCTGAATTTACCTAACCTTAAGAATGCGGATGGAGCGTCTCTGTTAGAATTTGGAAGTCAATTGGATAACGCAGACCGTACACTGACTGGAATGGGCATTAAATATGTAACTGACTTCAACCATATGAACACATTGAGAGAACTTTCTAAGAAACTGCCAATGTTTCTTAAAGCAAAATGGACTGAATGCGCTGGGAAGATAATTGATTCAGGGCATAGACCTAAATTTCAGGACTTCGATAGGTTCATAAAAGAAGGGGCGAAGTTGGTGGACAACGAGTTCGGGCAAGACATGAACAGCGTGTTTGCAAGAGAGACTAATATGCGGAAAAAGAAAGTGAATTCTGATGGAACTTTACAACAGCTGCAAACATTCGCGACTGGAAGTGGTCTGAACAGTCGTGGTCAAAGTGGAACCTTAAATGCACAAATTGTTAGTCTCGTTTGCTCAGGACAACTCGAAGTTTGGAAGTGTGAACTTTTTAAAGGCTTATCACATGAAGAGAAAATGAAAGTTGTGCAACGAGGTGGACTTTGTAACAAGTTTTTAGCAAAAGGGCACATTGCTAAGGATTGCCCAAAGGTGACCTTCAAGTGCCAACACTCTGGATATTGTGGAGGTCACCACACCTTAATGCACCGAAACCCTGTGAGAACAGAACGAGGAACTAGCAGTGAATCAAATGCGAGAGACGCAAGACAGCGAAATCAGAATGCTGGATTGAGAGATGTGAGCCCCCCACAGCAGTTACAACCAAGTAAATTAACAGTTAGATCTCGCAATGAAACTGGGGCCGGTAATGGTAACGGTTACTGGAGCTGGAGAAATGCGGGTGTGTCTTGGAATCATAACTGTCAATCAAAGTTCGAGGTAAAGGAAGTGGTAAAGTGATGGACACATATGCCCTTTTTGACAATGGCTCTGAAGTAACTTTGTTCCATGAACGGCTAGTGAAATTAATTGCATTAGATGGTGAAAGATTTGAATTCACTCTGACCGGAATGACAGGCTATAAAAAGGTGGATAGTAAATTGGTGGATCTTGTGGTGAAATCGATTGATAATTCTTTAGAAGTCGAACTGTCCAGTGTGTAAACAGTTGTTAATATGTCAATTTCGACAAGTTGCATCGCAAAGAGAGAACACCTCGTTCGCTGGCCTCATTTACGCGGCATTGACATTCCCATTATCGAAAATGGAGAAGTTTGTCTTCTGATTGGTTTGAAGGAAAGACCAACACTTTTCCTCCCGCTTGAGTTAAAGACTGGTGGAGATAATGACCCATATAACCACACGGTATAGTTTAGGGTGGACTGTGATGGGTCCCATGGGCGACCAGAAAGAAGATCGTGATTGTTCAGTAAACTTTGTGTTTACGAAGGACGGTCATGTGACACAAGGAAACCTTCTGAGGGATAAAGGTTCCAGGGAACAAATCAGTAAAGAAAAAAAGAAGCGGAAAGATGAGAATGAAACAGCGCAGCGGTTCGCGTCTACAGAATATGAGCCTCGTTTCCATGTTAATGTTCTTCAAAATGAAGATGATGATGTACCCACAGTTCACAATGAAACTTTGGATGGCCAACTTGAAAAGCTTTGGAAGACCGATTTCAGGGACTCGATCGTTGGGACAACAACATTGCCATCTGTTGAGGACAATAAAGCTTTAAGCAAGATAAGAGAATCGCTTCAAAGGCGAGATGGACATTTTCAAGTTAGACTAACGTGGCGAGAAGACCCACCGTACTTACCCAATAACAAAGTGATGGCAGAGCAAAAACTGGATCTCTTGAGAAAACGGTTAAGTAAAGACAAAGACCTGCATGAAAAATATTGTTCTGCAATTCAAGACTACCTAACCAAGGGATATGCAGAGAAGGTGCCAGAGAATGAATTAGACAAAAAGGAGCAGCCAGTGTGGTATCTATCCCACCACCCTGTAACGCACCCCTGAAGCCTGGTAAAGTTAGAATTGTCTTTGACTGCGCTGCAAAGTATCATGGAATATCCTTGACTCAACAGTTGTTACAGGGTCCTGACTTCACAAATCCACTAGTAAGAGTGTTGACCAGGTTTCGGCAAGAAACAACCGCCATTTAAGCTGATGAAGAAGGAATGTTCCATCAGGCTTCCCCAGACGGTCAACCCAATGAGCAGCCGCAAGAATACCGAATGGCAAAAATTGTTTGGTGCTATACGTCCTCGCCAAGTGTTGCTAACTTCTGTCTAAAGAGTACTGCATCGATTTATGGGACAGAATTTGATCCCGATGTAGTCCAAACCCTTGAAAGGACCATGTATGTGGATGATTTAATGAAGTCTGTTGATACTCGCACGACGGTAGTACAGCTTTCGACACAGCTAAGAGAATTGCGAGCAAAGGGCGGATTTAGATTGACCAAGTGGTTGAGTAACGATAGAAGGGTACTGGCTGAAATTCCAGAAACTGAGAAAGCATTCTCAGTAGCGAACCTTGACATACAAGAATTGCCAACTGAGTGTGCACTTGGATTGAAATGGAAAGTAGAAGCGGACAAGTTTATTTGGAGGGCATGAGGAAGGCTTCAGCATCTTGCACAGAAAGGATAGATACGAGACGTGGGATCTTAGCAATTGTTAGCTCACTGTTTGATCCACTTGGCTTTATAGCTCCCTATACTATGAAAGACAAACTACTGCTACAAGATCCTTTCTGCAAGAAATTAAGCTGGGACAGACTGGCTGATGAACCAGAGAAAATGCAGTGGTCGCGTTGGCTTGAAGATCTTGCACAGTTTCAGAATATTGATGTTTCCAAATGCTCTAAACCGAAGAATTGGTGGTGAAACCGCATGAATTTTGTCCCCACTGACCCAGAAATCGAGATTTTGACATGGATTGGACTTTTGGATTGGAATAATTAAACTTGAACTACCTGGGAAACCTTAGAAACATTAAAATTTTACATGGATTATCTTAAAACATTGGAGAAACTAAACTTCAGCTGGATCATTAGTGAGTATTTTAAACCTGGGAACCTTGGAACCATTAAACTTTTGCCGGATCAAGGAAATAATTATTGGAAGTTTGGAACGTTACTCATTAATGGAACTCGAATTTGTTTACTGTGAAAGACAGGCAAACCGACAGAAGAAAAGGGAAGTGAAAAACTACGACAACAATTCTCAAACGGCCAAGAACGAAACTGTGCCGCCTGGAATTGTCAAGTTCCTAAAGAGTCAGTTTATTTGTTACCTCCGCTGATAGCCAGTATGCAGTGCCTAGTGGATTGTAGTTAACATAGATTGAGCCTGAAGATTGCCAGTCAGGATGACGTTGAATTGACCGTCAAGAACATTGTTTTAAGGAACTTTATTCTATTTCGTCATAGTTACAGGAGGTTTCTGTTCGCATCGGTAGTTGTTAAGTTTATGTAAACGAAATTATCTTATTTAGATTTCCTTTGGTGTTACTACCGCTGCGCACCTATTCCGTAGCTCCCATGAAAACACGTGCTTTGAAATCTGATACTTTGTGAGTTTTGTCAGTTTGGAAGCCTTTGCTTTTGGAACTCAAAACAGTCGGTAAGTTTTCCTCTTGTATTTCGGACGTTGACCTCGAACTTTCGAACACTGAATTCATAGTGGATAATTATGTTTTGGTTTTAGAAAACCTATCTCGTGCGTAGGATTTACGGGATTGGATTTGAATTCGTTTGGAACTACTCTGACTTCTTTGTAAATTTGGTCCGACCCAGCAGTTCAGGCTGTTGATTTATTTGGATCTGCATCTATTCGGAACGTGGAATTCTTTATGGAATAAAGATAAGGTTTACGTACGGATCAAGTTCGAGTTATTTTCGTAACAATTATACTAGTGATTTGTTTTTTAGGCTGAATTAACGATTCTTTTGTTGCGCGGTAAAAGAAACTAAATGCTGCCCATCCAAAGATATAATTGATATTGAAATATTCTCGCAACTTAAACCTCAAGGGGTTTAGGGTCTGGGTCAATGGTGTGTTCAGGCCATATGATTTGTAGGCAATACCTCTTGCAAGGAGACCTTTAACAAAATGAAATTTTTTCCAAAAGTAAATCTTGACGGCTTCTTGTACCTGAACGTTTAATTATGGCCACGTGACATGTCACGTGACCAATAATTGAAAATAAAGGAAATTGGCGAGCTGATGGCAAATTTACTTTGTTTGGATAAATAAATTGGCATTTCTGATAGAGGATAAGCATACCTGACTTTCTACGTTTGCTATGATGTACCCGAAGATTAAAACTAAAGTTTTAAAGTATTCAAGATTAAATTTGGGCATTTCAAATGATGTTTACCCTTACAATTTTTTATTCATTACTACAATGGACGGTCAGTCCAATCGTGAAGTGCTGGAAATATTTAATACCGCGATTTCTTATCTTAAACCCGCCTCCAATTTGCCAATTATTTCCGATTTTTAGCATACAAATCCTTATACTGTCAAACCTCTATTAAGCTGTCAACTATCAATTTCCCGAAATTTGCTTCCCACATTTACTGTAAATTTGACCTCTATTCAACGGTCACCTCTATCAAGCGGACGCNAATGATGTTTACCCTTACAATTTTTTATTCATTACTACAATGGACGGTCAGTCCAATCGTGAAGTGCTGGAAATATTTAATACCGCGATTTCTTATCTTAAACCCGCCTCCAATTTGCCAATTATTTCCGATTTTTAGCATACAAATCCTTATACTGTCAAACCTCTATTAAGCTGTCAACTATCAATTTCCCGAAATTTGCTTCCCACATTTACTGTAAATTTGACCTCTATTCAACGGTCACCTCTATCAAGCGGACGCGGTCACCGTCTGGATTTCCCAAAGGCTAATTTTATTGTAATTTACCCCTGTTAACCAGTCATCTTGTTACACAATAGTCACTAAATGGTGTATTTTTTTTGAAACAGAGGCGAACTCGGAAATGGCCTATTGTATTGGAAAAGTAACAATAGTCCATTTACAGTTGCAGGTGGAAACGAGGCTAGAGTTGACCTTATTTTGATACAACCCTTCCTGCTTTTTCATGCAAATTATGCCTTTCATGTGCTAACGACTACTTTTTAAGCACTATTTCCGTAAGAAGAAACGAAAGAACGCCACGCAATCCCAATTTTTTGACTGATGCAAGTTTTTATGGATTGTATCTGAATCCAACCTCAGATGACCGCACGCAGGACTATCTAATGGCTTTTCGAACCGTTTAAAGGATTTTTCCTCGTTTTCATGTGGTGATTAACATTTTTATGAGAAACAAACCCTCGATAATTACAAAATAGTTGCAAGAGTGTTATTATTTGAACTAGTGTGAAAAGGTGGCCATACACACCCCTTAAATAGGACAAATGCATATAGTTCCAGTACAGGATACTCACCAACGGCTTTGGAAGAAACGGTCACGTGACACCAAAGATGGCATGATAGCAAATCAAATGTCTTCTTTCAAAACATCTAGGAGTTTTATTTTGGAAAAAAAATTTAAAATAGCTATTTTAGAAGGATTTATGGTGACGGTT